CCTCGTGTACGAACACATTATCTAACATCAGGCATGGGCCTCAGGTTGGCGACGAGCCGTCTGTACTTGTGTGTGGGGTGGGCTGTGTTGGGAGGAGGAATTCCGCGACCGTTGCACGTCGCACAGCGCTGTGAAGTCGGACAGAAACAAAGTTGAGCGGTTTCAGGTTCCCGATCGAAACGCAACGGTTCGGGGTTGGGCGACACATCGCAGGTTCCGGCGAAGGTGATGCCGCATATGCACACTGCTTGCTGCTTGCCGCTTGCTGCTTCCTCCCTTCTCGTTGGGAGCGGATAGCCGAGCATGTCGTGGGTAAAGGAAGTTTATGCCGTGCTGATGTGCTCGCTGGCGGATGGAGTGGCATGTGAGGGCGCCTTCGTCTTGGCGCGAGGTGTGGGGTCTGGGGGCTTCGGAACTACATGTCGGTCAGGTAGACTATACTGCTGTAGTCACGATGTCATGAAGTACCACGGATGGCCTGAGGAAGAGAGACACGAAGCCGACAGAGCGGGCTTCTGCTGCGTTAGAGAGCTTCACACCAGGCTATGTCGCTCCAGCAATCCCCCTGGCAACCCCATGTATCATAGTGCATTTTGATTGGACACGATGCTTTTCTCGAACTTGACTCCGTGACACAAGACGCGCACACATGTCGATGTTTTCACCCCCATCCCCACGCCGAGGCAGCGGTAGAACACCAGGAACCTCGGTTCAGTACTGATACTAGCGTTAGGCCTGATTGAGGAAGATTTCTATCCCTCTCTAGTTATGACGGGTGTGCGGTTCGCCACACAAACAACCGTGAGTAGAGCCATCGAGAGTTCCGCCTCTCGATGTTTGCACATGAGGCTTGAGAGTTCTGAACATCCAGCATCCAGCTACTTGAGTACGGTTTATGCTCCGTGTTGTTGTGGCCTTTGCGCAGCAACCCAGCCACACATGACATCAATCCACGTATTGTCCATGTAGGGGTGTTCAAGCTGCGCTGTAGCCCGGCAGCACGGTGCGATGTAGGAAGATGAAGCCGCCGTAGCTACTAATCTGGTTTCGGTTTGGGTTTCTTACCCTTTGCAACTCGAGCATGCCGTCGCTGCCGTCCCCTCTGTTCACCCCGCTGTTTGATGCTTGAGAACATGACATGCACGGGTTCACCCGAGTTCACGCCAAGCAGAGGGTACGTATTTTTTTTCGTCTTGCCAACAAGTCCATGTAGCTGCTAAAAAAGGACAACGACCACGGGAATAGCAGTTAGCGCTGACTAGTCCAGCGGCCATCGCGCTTCTGAACAGGAATGACGGCCAGCCTCAACGGTTGTTACATGTACCTGGGCGAAATATTGTTCTCACGACAACTGCTGTGGATGCCGCCAACACACGTAACCCCCATCGCAAAGCGGTGAGTTCTCAAGAGAGTGAAAAAACGCTAGTCTACAACAAACATGTTTGAGCTATTCACCAGGCATGTGGTGGCACCGCTGTTGTTGCGTTGGTTCAGGCAATGATGTTGGGCCCTATGAATGCGCGTCATGGGTGAGAATCGGTAACAGATGAAGAAAACTGAACATGTCTACCAAGGCTAGTACCCTCTACTCATGTTCGTTTAGGCGTTGTGTGTGCCTGTGTGGACTTATTTCGTTGTGTCGACCGCGGTAACCTGGCTGACCAACGACAAGATGTCATTCATATGACGGGATTTAAAAACGGTTTTTGTCATTCTGTAGAGTCCTACCGAAGGGGGGGCGGACGAGCGACAGTGACTTGCTTCTGGTGCACGAGATCTTGATACCATTCTCTGCTTTGCTCCTACGCCAGCATCGGTTCCCCTGTACGGGGTTGCTCTGTGCCCGGCTCTCTTTGTGTTTGAAGCGTGTTTCTGGGTTCTTCACGTTCATCCTAGCACCGTTTTCTTGATATCTACTGTTTAAACTACCACCGTTCGTCTGATGTATTTGTTCTGCGTATGTGTGTCGCAGATCTGAAGGATCGACCCCTTACTTTCATTCACAGCATTCTCTCTGACTCCGTTTCAATTTCTAATCGCCTCTTCATGGGATGGATCCTCTTCGGACATGGCTGCTCTTTCTTTCACTAGCCACATCGTCTTGCATTGGTTAGGCACGTGTTGCGATTCTGTGAATTGAGAACCGCCGTCGTTTACTACCCGAAAATTTGGCCTCGCCCTGCAGTCTCCGAAGAAAATCACGAGTCTGGATTGAAGTAAACCGAGTCATACCAAAAGCATGGTGTGCATATGTGTGCGCGTGTGTTTTTGTTGGTATCCGCGGCGCTGACCGGCTGAAAAATGAAAAGATGCCAACCTTAGTGCTGCCACATTTGCATACGGGAAACGCTTCTGAAGGCCGTGATCTGGGATCTGGGACCTGGGAGGGTCACGGGGAGGCTAGGGCGTTCGCTGGATTGAAAGACATAATTGAAGGACATAACAGTATCAGACGAAGAGGATGTGCGTGTCTACCGAGGTTCCACTTTCCACTCGTGATTTTTGGGCTCCCTGCATGTTTAGGTTCCGTGTGTTCACTACACTTCCCTCGCTGAGATGTCTACAACAATTTTTGAGCCGCTCCATCCCTCCTGTGTTTATTGTGAAGATGTGGCCACTTTTGCCGATAACCATTGTGTCTGTTATTCGTTTGCGCTGTGTATTTCTCGCCCTTCTTGTTAGTGCGTGAAAGGTTGAACAAGCCTCGCCAAAGGATTTCACCGTCGATCCCCACGGCTCTAAGCGCCCCTCTTCATCCTCCTTTCATCACAAACGCCTTCCGTTCATCCACCACAAGAACTGAGATCCTAATTGCGCTAGTCAATAGGCCTTCGCTCGCATCGAGCCCCCGGGAATTTCCACTCAACGGTATGTCTTCCCGACCAGAATCGACCGATGGGGCTCGTTACCCTTGCCCCCCAACCCGCGAACTTGTTTCAACAGCCTTGCCGGTGACCGCACTCCTGACGAGCTAAATGTCTTACCGGAGGATCGTACCAAGGAGGAGATGGGTAGGCTGGAGCTATGCCTCCGAGAGAAGGAGGATAAACAGGCCTGCAAGATCACGGCGGGGCTCCGCTAACTGGTACAATGCGAGCGGTTCCTGGGGTGGGGGGGGGGCGTCACGACGAGGGGGCCAGGGCATGGACGCGAAAGGTGAGCTGGCTGGGGAGGGAGTGTTTTCGCCGCGTGTGTGTTGTTTCGATGAGTATCGACCACGCAACATCGACCGACGCGACCGGCTGACCAATGAAAAGACGCCGGTCATACACAGCGGGATGCAAACGCGCACAAGCTTTGTCTTTTTCTCGTGTGCGTGTGCGTGTCCCGCCACCGACAACGTGATGAGGTGTGCTCTGTGTTGTGGGTGTGCCAGAAACATTGAATGCTCTACGCGTTGTGGTGTTGCAAAGAACTGGCCTCAAGGGTATCTCCTTGTTCTCTTGCGCTCTCCCTCCCTTCGTCAGGGCCGGGGGTGGGTGGGAAGAAGACGGTGTGATGATATTACCGCTTGCCATTGTGTACGGAGGAAACACAGAAGGGGCATATGGCAGAGGTAGAAGGTAGGCTTGTTGGCGCGGTATTTTCTTATGTCGCTCTCGGCGTTTTGAAATAACCTGGGGATGATGACACATTGTACCTTGGAAACACGCCGCGATTTTTTACTCTGGCGCTCCATGCCGAAAGGGGTGCGTGGCCAACAGTCGGCACACCAAAGTAAAGGAACGCAACCATTTAGCCCCTCCCCCCCCCCGGTGTTTCACCCCACAGTTTGCCATCGGGGTTGGGTTTTCGTCGCTTGGCAGCGATGTTGTGAAACAAGCCGTTCGTTTCGTGAGCTCGGCAACCAGGTTACCGCTGTTTTTGTGGCCTTTGGTTTTTGTTTTTGCGGTAACCGTGAATGGTGGTCGAGTAGATTTTATTGTGCGGGGTCGAGAACCCTCACTCCGCGCAAAAGGGGATGATCGCACCACGTTGTGTTAAAATGGTCAAGCATCCTCGAGGCAGTTACACAGTGCTTACAACTGTCGATGGAAGCGAAAGCACCAGAAAATAAATTAAGTCATACGCAGCTGTCATCCGTACGCAAGGAAGTACGCACAAGATGTCGAACACCGTTAGCAGGATGCAGGGCACCGTTCATTCGACTCGCCGACTATCTCACGGCGCTTCGCGCTTGGCGATGTGAGAGCCTGGTCCGGTGAGAACCCGGCGTGCTCCGTCCCGGCTTTGTAGGGATGCGAGTTCAATGGTCTAACGACTACGGCATGCACGACTATGAGTACACCCCCCCCCCCCCCCCTGCCTTCCCAGGGGGGGTTGGAACATGTTCGTGAAAAATGGGCTTCCCGGGCGAGGGCTTTCCCAGGGCCTACTTCACGTCGGTGAGAAAGTCAACCGGGGGGCACCGCCGTGTCGTATTCGGAGAAAAGTGGGGGGGGGGTGAGGCGCAATGGGCGGGGCCTCGATGGTGACGCGGTGGGTGCGTGCATGCCAACTTTTCCCGCGCACTCGTCCCTGTAGACTAGCGTTCGGTGCTTTCGGTGCATCTGTAAGCTTTCCCCCTTTTCAGGATACAGAAAAACACCTCGGACACCAACATCAACAAACACGGGATCGCTCTGCGTGTAACTAGGTTGTGACCACCGTCTTGTATCCCCCCCTCCCAACGAAACACCACCGACAAGAGCTGCCTGGCAGAACGGTAGACTTGGAGGCCACGCGACGTTCAGAAGCAGAGATGGACACCGCTGCCGACAGCGCCGGGAGCCGCTCAAGAGCGGGGAGGGGGGGGCACCGCCAAGGAGAAAGCTGCACCCTCCGCCCCCCCCGCCAATGGGCAGCCCCAGCGGACAGGCAAGGGGGCCGCAGCTTGCCGGCGGCGCCAGGGTACCCGGGGCACAGAAGGGGGCACCTCAAACGGAGAGGAGAAGGAAGGGGGAGACGCGAGAACGGTTTATCGATGGGACGTGGATAGCTTGATAGGCAGCGAGGCGGACATGGACGTAGTGCCGCTCATGGAGGGCGGCTTCGGTGAGAGCAGGCTTTTATATTCGTTGATTCTTTCTCGCAAGAACCCATCCTTTGGTCGGGTTTCCAGGATCCTGCTGTGGGGCCGTGTGGAAACTGAGGGAGAGTTAGGTGAGAGGGCTGTGCAGCATAACCCGGACGGCATGGGTCTTTTCTTCTCTTTTGTGACCACGAGGTGGTACCGATGGGTTGGTTGCCGGCTGCACCCCGACATGCATATCACGCTTCCTTGTAGTGTGATGTTTCTTCCAGCGCAACAACAGGATATTTACCGATTCCGTTGCTTGAGACACATATGTCCATGGACGGCTTTTGATGCAAGCGAATCAAGTTGTGCCAACGACGGTATCGATTGCCAGCACGCGATCGTTGACACCGGAGAGACAACAGTGGCGCGAACCAGCGACGGCTGTAAAGCGTTTTTTTATAACACAACGTCACACATGCCGCCGGCATCTGTGTCTTCTGTTTCCGCGCTATGTAGTCAACATCCTTGTTCTGGTGTCAGTGACGAATTGGGGCCTGATGGAGAAGGTGTGGGAACACGCCGAGGGGGACTCGAGTCGAGACGAAGCTGTCGGAACACCCGGAGAAGAGAAGAACTTCAGCTCTTGCAAGGAGAAGAGAAGAAATTCAGCTCTTGCAAGGAGAAGAGAAGAAATTCAGCTCTTGCAAGGAGAGGATGAAGAACACGGTGAGCACCTCGCTTACATGCTGTGGCGGGACGCCAACAGAGTCATTCGTGTGGTTGGCGATGTTTTTGGCTGTTGGTTGTTGGTTGTTGTTGTTATCGTTGGTGCTGCTACTGTTGTTGGTTGTTGGCGTTTGGGATGTATTGTCCTTCGCATGAGCTCGTTGCACAGACCCCATGGTTTTTTCATACATTTAGCCCGGGAGAGCATAGGAAGGAGACTCGAGGTTATCCTCAGGAGATCCCTCTTGCAGTACCATGTTTTTCTTTCTCCCGACCGGCATCATTTTGACCTTCGCTACATAGGTAGAGACGAGTGTACATGTGCGTCTCCTAGATGCGGTCCGACCTTAACGTCACCCCCCCTCCTGCTGAATGTAGCACTAGAGATGGGTGACGTACCCCGGCTATGTACCCCCCCCCCCCCTGCCACTAAGACAAGCATATCCCGGTGAAAGTGAATCTCATCACTAACTTTATCTCGATACACAACACCTCCATCGGCTGCGCAACCGCTCTGCCTCCCCGACCCCGATCAGAAAATTATGTTTGACAAATTCGGCATTTTCGCGAAGTTCATGTCGAAAAAGAGGCGGTGCTTGCGTGCTTCTCGATAGGGAGCAGGACGGCGTTGCTGTCGGACGTAGGGGGGTGACAGCGCCGTGGTGACACCGGTTTACGCGACGAATGAGGTAGGTGATAAAAAGCCTCACTTGGTGCCATCGTTTCCTGGTTGGGGGGGGGGGGGGGGGGGGGTCCGCAGACTGTCGCAGAAACTGC